AGTGCACAATACAAAATAAGCAGAAGAAAAAAAAAGAACTGAAATAAATGCACAATTAAATACAAATGGGCACAAACCATGCAAACTACAACATACGTCCACACTGAGGTAAGGCAATGTAAGTTTACGCAGTTCACTTCATGCACAGTTCATTTAAAAAAAAAAAAAAAAAACCCGGTTAGTTTTGACTTAAGTTAACGCACCAAGGATGAGCCATCCCTACAGCTTTAGTGTGCACATTAAGACATCTCCCCACCTAATTTGTCTCATCTCTGGTCGGGGCAAATTAATTGAAACGGTTAAGAAGACTTTAAAAACAGTGCACTGATAAGAACAGAAGAAACCGGTTAGTTTTGACTTAAGTTAACGCACCAAGGATGAGCCATCCCTACAGCTTTAGTGTGCACATTAAGACATCTCCCCACCTAATTTGTCTCATCTCTGGTCGGGGCACCCCTGTCTCTGACATTTAAGCTTGTGGTTTTGTATCTGCACCTGTCTGTCGGTTCTGCTCCACATTAAACCTAACACTGGCTGATAAAGATGAACACAATCCACAACAGCTTTGCTGGAGAACATGGCTAAACCCATTAAAGATAATACACAAATTAAGGAGTCTAATTTGATCAGTTAGAAATTTATAGAAGAAACCTCAATATTTCAGGAGTTGAAAGACCAAACAAGCCTAATAGAGCTTAATTTTGGAGAAAGACAACTGCAGGACTCACCTACATCAGTCTCAAAGAATACAAGCAAGCTGCCAGTCAGAAACTGGACAGGAGCACATCCAACTCATCTAAGAAGCCGCCCAGTTCAGCTGGAAGACAGTATGAGACATTAGGGTTAAATGTGAACCAAATCAAACTTAAATGAGATGCATAGAGAGCAAATTTCTAGGTATTTAAGAGAAGCAAACCTGCTCATGGTGTGAGAAGTGCATCCGTGTCTGGTTGAATACGGCTCTTTAAATGGCATAAGAAACTGAACCAATATTCTCCACATTTCCAAAGGCCAAGTGCAAATGAGGCAAGAAAAGCTTTGATGACATGAGGCTTATTTAGGTAAATACCGAAGAACTCCATGTAAAGGATAACACATCCAACTCAAAGATCCCAGCTAACCTGAGGAAAAGTATACGTGAGGTTAAAATGGATCTGTAATACAAAAGGAGTCGTTTAAACAAAAATATATGTCAAGATATTACAGAAAGCAAACATACTTGTTTAGTGTGAGGTCTGGAAGAAAGTGAAGTCATGTCCTCTGGTAGAATCAAGGTCTCAGTCCAGCCAAAGAGGAGCGGACAGCAGCTTCAGCTCTGGGACTATGGAGGTGCCAAACCACTGTAAGGGTGGAGGGCACAAATCCATATGAGTACAGAATTGAAAAAAATTAATAAAAAGTTGCAGAAAGTGCCTTATTGCACTTGCCTACCTTCATGAGTCAGGTCTGCACACGAGGATGGAGGCTCCTGCATTACTACCAAAAGTAGTTAAGTGATTTTAAAAAAAAATTAAAAAAAATAAATAAAAAACACACACCACAACACCTTCATGATCATGTAAAAGGTACACTAAAATGTCAAAAGGCACTTCACAACACTGGTACATACTACTCTCAAACATTTGAACCGCTTGATAATGTTTTATCCAGAGTTCCTATGACCAACCATCCTGTAACTGTACTGAGATCGGGGTGCACATTGTCTGTCTGATTTGAGCTCAAGCCACAGCGGATCGACTCCTGCAGGTCACAGACTCCCTGTTCTGCTTCTCAGAGACACAAGCTTTGATCAAACAAAACTATCTATACTAAAGCATTCTACACGGCACGATTTTAATAATCCTATAAGACCATTGCGGATCACACTGCGTGACATGAATCTAATAAACTTGGGTACGACATGCATGTAGACTGTACGATGATGACACCCATTGACTCGTACGCTACGACATGTTACTATAGAAGAATAAAACAACATCAGCACGTGCTAGTGGTAAACAAAAACAGCATGAAGAACCACACTTTAACAGTTGTAGTTTGTGTGCTTAATGTGGAAGTGGTGAAAGAGGAAGGAATAAAAGCTTGAGGTAAGCAGTTTTATGTTGATGAATAGTTCGAAGGATATGATGAGTGGGGGAAATCCGAGTCTTTGGCTTTACAGGAGCTGGAATGTAGACAGGAGGAGCACACACACCTCAGCGATCCTTGAACTTGGAGACACTTGGAGGACCACAGGAGCTAAGTAATGCAGGAAGTATTCAAATGGAAGCAGTGGCAAAGTCATTCAGTCCGCTACATGTACACGAGACCAGACAGTGAGGGTGTCTGAGGTGTGTGCTTTTATGCAGGCTGGTTGATGAGGTGCTTGATTAGTGACAGGTGCAGGTGCTCAGTACTCAGGTGAGAGGGATCGTTGTGATTGGGTGGTGGTGGAGCCTGGCCGATCTGTTACACTATGTGAGTGTAATGATTCGTCAACACGGCTGGGATCCATTTGCAGTTTTATTTGAAACTTAATCAGACAAGCAGAGATCAAGACACAGATAAGGCAGTATCGTAGAGTAGACAGAATCGTAATCATAGACGAACCTGAGATCGGGGCAGGCAGATAACGTTCAGAAACTGGGACAGTCGTAGGTCAGGGCAGGCGGCAATCCAAAGTCGATAGTCCAGTATCCAGAGCACAAGTTCAGTAGGCAGGCGGCAAACAACACGAGGGAAAGGCAGGCAGAGGTAATAGCAGAAGGCAGTCCAATGTAACCGGAATAACGCTCAGAAATGTTCACCAAGGCAAAACAAGACTTCGCAGTGAACCTGGGTGACAGAGCTCCTTAAATAGTCTAACCTGATAGGGAACAGGTGTCGGGGAGCAATCAGGGACAGGTGCCAGGCTGATGGGAAATGTAGTGTGGGAATGAAACTAGTACTCTGGTGATGGGGCCCTCTGGTGGCCCGAAGAGAGAGTAACAGGAGCGCTCTCCGTGACAGTGAGATCCTAATATGATGAGATTTTAAAGAGATAGTTCACCCAAAAATTAAAATACTAGCTGTGTCTCATTTAGAAGGCTGCGCCCTCCGGAGGTCGCATTCGAAGGCTGCATACGTCATCGAGGCTGTCTCATTTCAGAAAAGCAAGTAGGACACTCTGAATGCAACCTTCGAATGCGACCTTCTGTCACAGGAATTCGGAGGATGCATGAGGTGTATCCTTCACTGCTACAGATAACCCACAATTCTTTGCGTCGCCGTAAACAACCGTTGTTAATTTGAAAAATGCCAGCACCGGCAGATGTACACACAAGCGCAGATGTGGTGTTTACAACTTACCTTAAATCGCCTTGGTAAAAACGGATAAACTTTGTTTTTAATATCCTCCTCTTTTTTCTCTAAAAGATTTC